GGGAGATTGACTTAATATTATTATTAAAATAATAACTTTAAAATAATATTCAGAAGACAACACTCCTCAAATTGCTCTCCAGGTGCAACACAGCCCTGCTTGGCATCTATCTTTGTATAAACTGACAAGCTGATCCTGATTTGAAAACCCATTAGACCAATGTAATAGAATTGGAGAATCAGGAATAAACACATGAATAATTTCGTTCTCTCTCTCCCTCTCCTCCTTCCTTCCTTCCCCTCTTCACTCCCTCCTGACCTCCCTCTCCCTCCTCCTCTCTCTCTCACATTAAGAACGCTAAGCAAATACTCTACAACTGAGCTACACTTCAGCCCACACTGACGCATGCATCTCTGGTCAACTAATATTAATCAGGCTGCCACATATCCAAGAGGAAAAACAATTAATTTTATGAACAAGAAATTCAATAGAGATAGAAATCATTAAAAAAATCAGAAATCTTACAGTGGAACATTTCAATCAATTAAGTAAAAAATATAATGTACAGTTTCTACCACATACTAAACCAAGGAGAAGAAAGAATTTTGGAATTTGAGGACAAAACAGCTCAAACAAAAACAGAAGGAAGGAAAAAGGGAGGAAAGAAAGAATCAGTGAAAGGAGGAAAAAGAAAAAATGTGAGGCAAGCCCATAAATGGGACACTATTAAGTGAACAAATATTCACATTATGGAAACTCCAAGAGAAGAATAAGGAAAAGCATTGAAATCTACTTAAGAAAACACTAGCTGAAAATTGCTCAAGTCTTCAATTTTAGATACAGACATCCATAACAAAGAAATTCAAAGAACTCAAATCAGACTCAACCAAAAGAACAGAGAAACAAAGGCAGAGAAGAGAGAAAAAAAAATCAAACCTTACAATGACAGAAAGGTACAAAACTACAATAAAAAGATAGGAGGAATGGAACAAAGAATATACACAATATTAAGAATACAAAACAATGACAAGATCAAATTTATACTTATTAATAATATCACTGAGTGTGAACACATTCATCCCCAATCTAAAGACACAGATTAGCTGAATGGATAAAAGAAAGCAAGACCCAACTATATGCTGCCTATGAGAAACCCATTTCACTGGTAAATATATGCACAGGCTGAAAATAAAAGGTTAGAAGATATACCATACAAACAGAAACCAAAAATTAGTAGTAGTAGCTAAACTTGTATCACGTAAAATAGACTTTAAATAATAAAGTCTAAAATGACACAAAGATGGTGATCATATACTGATAAAGGGTAAATTTAACATGAAATATAACGAATGTAAATGTATATGAACCCATCAAATATATAAGGCAAGTATTAGATCAAAAAGAAAGAAAGATTCTAATGAAATGATAGTTGTGGTCTTTAATACCCTGTTTCATCAATGGAAAAAGAATCCAGACAGAACACGAACAAAGATCAAATTATTAGCAACATTAATTCAGTCAATGTCAAAAGTATCATTAAATATAAAATTGACAAATTACTGTTTAGTATTTTTTTCTTGTCAATGGGCAAAACTCAGGGACTTTTGTGCTCCAGTACATATCATCCTGAACTTCCTATATCTCTCCATGACGTGTAACAATTTCCCAAGACATTATTCTACTTCAATATGATTATGTGGGAGAGGTGGAAGAGTGGAAGAAAAGAATTGTTTAGACAATTTCTTCATCTCATGAACATTTGAAAGGGCTTTTCTATGCCACATAAGGCTTCAACTTGATTAAAAAGAGCAGACTATTTGTTAAATCAATGCATCACATTGTACTGATACACCTCCCAAACCTTATAAGAAAATTAACTTTGGACAATGACATGCTTGTCTACGTAGAAAATCCCAAACAATTCTTCAAAGTACTTTAATGGTGGAAACCATACAGAGGGAGAAGGGGTATACTGAAATTCTTTACCTTTTGCTCAAATTTTCCATAAATCAAAATTTGTTCTAAAATACAAAATCTGTAATCAAAAAGTCACCCATAGCACATAAAAAAGTAACTTACAGAAGGTTATATATCACACACATGTATAAAAAGGCACGCACACATGTACATGTGTTTGCACCCATTCAGATGAAATAAATACACATCTCTCTTCACCATAATTTTCGTATGTTACGCACACTGTTATTTGCCCTTTCCTAACGTAGCGCCCCTATGTAGACTAAGGTAAGTTGGAGCTGAAGGAAAAGGAGCAAGGGCAAAGCGGAGAATGAGATCTGGAACACAGACTTGGGGTTCTGCCTTGGTGTGCCAGTTAAGTTTCACACACCAGATTTCTAAAATAAAAGTGCGTAATGTTTCTTTAGCTTTCCATGATGCTGAATCACGCTTATATAAACTTTGGTTGTAAGGGAAATAGAGCTGGGATAGAAAAATTTGTTTTTAAAAGACGTAATAAAGCCAGCTGTAAACACGCACACTGTACGTAGTAGCTCATTACATCTCATAGCTACTTCACTTTCTTTTCAAGACCTACAAACGGATGCTTTATTATAACACTGCACGCCGAAAGTATATTTCAAATTTTCCCAAACAGTGAAAATGTAAAGAAAACAAAACCACATACCAATTCATCGATGCTGATCAGGATAACATTCTCAAAGCCTTTACCTTCTTTATCTTTCAGATGACAATTAGATGAAGTTACTGGTAACAGAACAAGGATCAAGGGAGGAATTCCAAAGATATACCTAAAAGAAACTGAATTGAACAACAAATGAGAATGAGCTAAATGTGATGCCGTATTCCATTTGCTTGTGGCTTACTGATGGGCTGGACCACTTCTAGTGACGTTTAGAATGTATCTCCGTTCTTGGATAGTGTAGGCAGAACCCTAAAATTGTCAATTATGTACAAGCAAAGGGGGCAGCATTTTGGAGTTCAGATTTCATTTACTTTTTATTTTAACATAGAAATTACATTGGGGAAAGTGTAGGACAAGTGCGATGAAACCTAAGAGTGCTTCTGAAAGACACACTCTCATACATCAATACCTTAGCCAATTTGGATTTCTGTTGAACACACCTATCAGACAAGGTTACCTACAGGTAACGAGGGGCGCTGCAGTTTAGAAAGGCACATATTTTGCGATCTCATCGTGGGTGGCATATGATAATTTATGTGAAACTCTGAAGGGAGTCTACTTGATGGAATGTCCTGGCATCAGCACTTTGGGAAGTTTATCTGCACTATGATTGTATTTCTTCTTTTAAATAGTGGACCTTAAAGCGTTTTCCCATCCCAAAACTCTTACAAAGATAATCATATTTTAGGACTCCACTACCATCTTTCAGTCTTTTCTGCATCAGCGTGCTCAGACACCTACATTCTGTTCAGTTTCTTACCACGTTAGAAAAACCCAAGAAGTAAGTTCACGTGCTATGAACTAAAGATTTGTGCTTGATTTTGCTGTCTTTCCAACTGGGGACAGCGACCCCACTAAAAAGGATGAAGTTCTAACTGGTATCATTTAGGACGTAAAAACACGCTGAATGGAAGGCCAGTGGTGCCCGGAAGCATTAGATCTGATGACTTCATCACCCTTCCACGGTGCCTTGTTTTGTTCTTCCTGTGAAGCCAGATTACACTGACAACAGAATTCCCGCTACTGCCCAAATAAACTTTAACTTCACCTCTTCGATGCAAAACATCTCATACTTCTACCTTCTCCCTTAAAGAGTACAAGTAACACTCTTTAGAACCCAAAGAACTGATATTGTGACAGCAGCCTGTAGACTGTTACTATTATAAAATTCCCGATAATATTGTCATGCTATTATCTGCCGTATAAAAAACCTGCTGTACTTGCCAATGAAGTGTCCCTCTAGTGACCCATTTTCTGAATGTAGAAAGTAGGCTAGGTAGTGGTTATGACACAGGGTACTTCTTTTCTTTATATGTGACTGACACTGTTACGGAGAATTAAAAATCTAATATTGACACCTGAAATCCATTCACAGCTCTGCCAATACATAGCTACACACATGATTAGCATGTAGATAGCTCATGGAGTCTCAGGATTAATAGTGAGTGATCCCAATAACTTTTAATTTATTATCTGCCCTGTGCCAGGAACTACTGGGTGATCCTGGATGCTAACCGGAGCGTGCCGTGTCACCATAATTTGATCAGAAATGGCCATAGTATTTTTTTTTAACATGTAAGCGCATTGGTCTTCCAAATGGAAATCACTTCCCTGTAATACTATTCATCTCTCTCTTTCTTTCTCTCTGTCTCTCTCTCCACCTTCATCCAGAAGTTCAACAAACAATAATCAATTGTTAATTATTTATTATATTTTGAGCTCATATTGGATCTGTGTAGATTATATAAAACACATTTTTATATTTTCTCTGTAATTTGCCAGGTGTCCAAAACTTACACTTTGAGAGGAACAGATAACAAAAAATTATAGAATACATAGCTTGAAATGAACTTTAAAGAGAATATAATAAAATAAACATGACTATGAAAGGAAAATATTCCATTATTATCTCTAAATTTTATCTCAAAATGAGACTATTCTGTTTTCTATGAGCAACAGCTGTCTCTTCCCCTCAGTTGTCAATAAACTCTCCTGAACTCCCTCTCAACTTACTAATTCACTGGAGGGCATTTTGTCACTGCTTTCTAACGGTGGGGTGGTGAAACATTCAGCCTTTCTGCACACCACAACTGTTCTCTCAGCTCTGGAACCATTTACCTCGCCTGTAAAGAGAGCATTCTGCTGCCCCTGCTCTTGTTGAGCAACTCAGTTCCAGACAGAGCAGGGCAAAGCAAAGAATGGGATCTGGAATGCAGAGACTGGGGTTCTGCCTGGTGTGCCAGCTAAGCTTCACATACAGGATTTCTAAAACAAAAACGTACGGTATTTCTGTAGCGTTCAAGTACCTCAGTTACAATAATCTGCTTGGTCATCCACACACAGACACTCTTTAGGTTTGAAATTTTCTAAGAGTCTTCTATCTACACACCCAGGGTCAGGGGGAAACCAAACCTCATAGGTTCCCAACTGTCATCAGACGTATAGTCTTCTAAGTGAAGTCTTTCCTTCCACAGCACACACACAGAATATGTGTAACATACGAAGACTGTACGGTTTTGAGCGTTACCGTGGGAAAGGAACTCAACTTTTATTTCGTTTGCATTTGTTTCCTACTACAGTGGCAGCTACCTTTCCCCCTCTCATGAACTTTTCATTAGGTCACAGAAAACACAAACCATGGTGAACAATGCAAGTCAAGTGTGGGCTTGTGGAATTGTCTGTAAATCTCCTGAAGGGATTGAAACTGGAGTATTGTTTTCAGTAGGGAATTTGGTTAAACCAGAATGATGGCTGTCTAAAAACTGTTGTTGATTTTTAATTTAAGCCAAATAATACATTCTATCCTCAGTAGTTTAAGTTATGGGGTCAAAGTGAATATAAATAAATTGGTTTCTACAGTCCACCAACTGTAGCCTTTTATCAGTCTTTAAGATCAACAAAGGTTTACTGAACATCCATTACACGGACCTACTTTCACTGGGAATTTAATTCCACAACCACTGCACGAGGTACACAGCTGCATGGTATTTACGTTTTGCAGGTGGAGAATCTGGACCCAAAGAACATTTTCCCAACATGGAATGTGTCCAGTAAGAACCAGGATTCAAACCTAATTTGGTCGGGTTAAGGATTCTAGAAACTGACCCACACTGCTTTGTATAAAATAACTGTGGCTATACAGTCAAGGGAAATGATGAAAGAAAAAATCTTCTGCGTGAACCAAGGTACTTCCTGGCCAAGCTCTGCAATTATATCGTATGCTCTTATCTCAGAGAGAAAAATCCACTAGACACCTGCTCTTACTACAGTAGGTTACAGTAGGTTATAAAACCTCACACAGAGGAGGGTCAATATGATGCATACGGTGGTCCCATGAAATAACTTCTATTTTTGCTTGAGAGATACAAGCACTGATACGGTGCCGTTTGCAATTCTTTGTACCTTTCCAGGACTCCTAATCATTCCCAGGTCTCTGCTTTTATAACTATTCCATTATTCATCGTGGAATATGATGAAATCACACAAACCATACAGTACAACCGACGACCCCATAGCGGGTCCTCCTCTTATTCAACCCCCAAAAGTTACAAGAAAGACAAAGGGGCCAGCGCAATCCTAGCACAGTCCTGACGGTTCTTCCACACCCAGTGAACTCTCTTGGAACTCAACTGCAGAGAGTCACTCATTGTGACAAACACTAAAAGTTTAGAATTTTAGTCTTTCATTTGCCAATCGCCATGCATGAGGCATGACTCACGGGCTTCAGGAGATAAAGTCCCGGAGTTAAAGACACACACCCTCGCTTTCTTTCGCCTTTCTACCTCTGGCTCAGGTGAGGTGCAACCCGGGGTGGACCAGAAAGAAGTAATGCCGGAGAATCAAAGGAGAACACCGGCACAAGTTCGCTCTAACTCTATCAAACTCCCGAGGAACCCCGCTCACACGTCCGCCTCCCTAGCCGCCCCTCTCGCCGCCCCCACCCTCACCTCGTGGCCGAGCTGTCTCCTCGGCGACCGCAACCCCGGCGCTCGCACACCTGCGGGCAGCGCCCGGGCGGCCCGG